GAATTATTAGAAAAAAATTTTGCACCAGTAACTCTTAGAAACGATAACCAAGGGGCAATTGCATTGGCAAAAAATCCTATTAAACATTTGAAATCTAAACATATAGACATACGTTATCATTTTATAAGTAAACTTTATCAACAAGGTTGTATACTATTAGAGTATATACAATCAAATGAAAATTACGCTGACGTTCTTACGAAGCCAGCAAAAAAAGATTTATTACAAAAGTTTAAGGAACTTATATTTGGACTTTAAAATAACATGTTGTCTAGTTGGGGTGTTGAGTTTTTATGACAATATTCGTTAACATTTATATCGGTATTTATTTCATCCACCATTAGTAAATATAAAACAATAACAGTACACACATTTTTTCAAACAAACAACTTACTAAAACAAAAAATAATTATCAAACATATTACATAAATTTTACTAGGCATTTGGTGAACTGATGCTTAAGCTAATCTCCGAATTATTAGTTATAAAATAATCTAAATTAGAATATGAAAAGTTGAAACTTTGTAAACATTATTTTAGAAAACTAATCTGAAAAAAAATATCTATATATTAAATAAAAAACTCAATAACAAAAGAAAGATATATATTTTAAAGTTTTTAAGTAATAAAATCTGTCCTTTTGTTATATAAATAGTTGAACTGTCCCTTTAGCATTTTTATAATTTTTATATAATTCTAGAAATGTTTTGATGGTTAAAAATAAAAGATGTTATTATTTATATAAAAAGCTACAAAAATCCATAATGGGCGCAAAGCTTTCATCTTTACATGAAACACAAATAGTGAGAATCAAAATGTATATTCGTAGTGGATAGGTTCTCAACCATTTCTTAAAATACTTGGCGAATGACTTTTATATACTTAAATCTACATATCTTTAAATACTTGGCAAATAACTTTTATTTACTTGAATCTACATTTTGTCTTTACAAAATGGTATTTATTATTTTCAGATTGCACATTTTAATATTAAAACCTCTAAAAATACATGTTTTTGTGAACTTTTTTGAGACTCTTAACATCTTATTAATATTAAAAAATACAAGTTGTAAACTCAATACACGCAATTTTATAGACATTAACTTAAAAGTTAGTTTTTGAACTTGAAGATTCGTTGCTCAGATTCCGTTGAAAGAATATGAGCAACGAATACCCCTTTTGATTTCAAAATTAGATACAGCACGATATAAAAGTAAAAATTACACAGAAAAGCGTTTCTTATATATGTTTTTTAATTGGAAATATTTTTTTTTCTCTTTTTAAAAAAACCACATCTTATTACTATAAATTTATGCATCAATAATATCATTGAAGTAACCTTGTTTTGTGATTTTTTTTTACTAAATTTCAACATAAGCGGGCAAATTTGTGCGGAAAATACGTTTTTTTGGACTACGATGTTAGAGATTTTTTACTCAAATTTACCATCGTGTGTTGTATATGATATTTGATTTAATCATGTCTTGGAGTTGTATACAACTATATTTATTTACTACCTATATTTTGAACATTATGTTTATCATAGTTATATTTGTATATCTTTATCGCCATTCTGTGATTTGTTATTTGGTTGCTTGTAAACACTTTGTAATTGTAAAATAAACATGTATAAAAAATAAAAAAATAGAACCCTTTAATTAACCCGTGTCTTAACCCGTGTCTTGAATTCTGTAAAGCCCGTATCTGGCCCCCGAGATACGGGCTTTACAGAATTCAATCTGTAAAGCCCGTATCTCGGGGGCCAGTTTGAAGGAAATGAATGCAGGAAGCTTCTAATAAATGTGGATATGCTGTGTATTGTGCGCATAATTGAAGCATTCAAAAGCTTCAATTTAGTTGTCAAGGCTTGCTTTGGATCCTTCAGCCGGATTTCGCTGAAAAAATTGAAAATTTCAATAAGTGTAACCTAATGCTAAGTCATGCAATCTAATGATAACTGGTGCATACTCCCAAAATTCACGCCTTCATCTACCACATTAAGGATTTTATCAGTCACAAAGGGTCCCCCTTAGGACCCTGTAGTGAACAAACTGTTAAAAATTCTCATTAAGATTTTTATCAACATTAGTCGAGATAAGCGAAAATAATAATCATCCAGAGTACAAAAAAAGATTGTTGCGCTGCATAAACAATCTGAACAGTAAACATCTTTAAAGAACATCAATTGAGCTATTAGAAATTAGACTGCTGAAATTCATATTTTACAGTGTATAATGAATATTTTTACCATCTTTAAAGTAGTATTAGAGAGTAAACATATTAAAAAAGTACATTGAGCTATTTATTAATAATCTTTTGGTGGAAAAAATCAAAAAAACATTTCTTAATAAATTAGATATTTGATGGTAATACAATTAAAAAAATAGGGTTAAAATAGTTTTTACTTCATTTTAAATGTAAATGTGTTTCAGAAGGTCAATACAAACATTTTCGATCTACTTTTTTTGTTGTTTTACTAACTGGTAGTCTATTGACCAGGTTTTGCACTTTTTTTTAGCTTTTTTTTTTTGGAGCAGTTCATACCTTGAAATGTTGGTATATTCAAGCGAAGCATACATTGCCGTCAACGCCAGGGAGGCTAGGGAGTCATGTTCTTCTCTACTTTTTTTTTGCGAGGACCTTTTGTTTTAGAAATTCAGGCAACTATTTTAGAAATTAGAGGCTTGACCCCCACCATTTTAAAGGTCGTGTTGACACTTTTAGCAGAAAACTATTTAAATTAAGCATTTAAGTATATTTAATATTCTAAACAATAGTCTGCTATTGTAAATGTATTTCTTATCTTATAAGTTTTGAATTTACAAATGATTTTTTAAGTTTTATTATTTGAAATACTAATTACTAAAAATATTGTAAAATTTTATAATTTCAATTTTTATTAAAAAAAGTTATTGTAAATTCTTTTTGTAATATTAATACTTATATATCATCTTATTTTACTAATCAGTTCTTAAATATAAATACTCTTTGAATTACTAAATATTTTAAACGTTATATATTTTATTTTTTACGTTTTGTTAAAATATTTTATTTGATGAATATGCATTTTTTTGGGGGGGCTTAATGATAAGATGAATTTTGTCTTCTTCAAGCCCCAGTCATGTAAATATTTGTTTTTATAAATTACGAGTGTAAATTATTTTCGATCGGCAAATACAATACTAAAAAAAAAAAAATAAAAAAGTAGCATATAACTATTTTGGTCTATAAAATGAAAACTGTACTTGTACTGATAAAATAATTATAACAAAAATTGTTGGTATTACATTGCAGAACACTCTTGTAACCGTTATTTTAGAAATAGTGACCGAATTTCAAAGTAATCAATAACGCTTTGAGGCATAAGTAGCAAAAAACTGACAAAAATATAACTAAAACTGCAATAGTTCCTACAAAAGTCTTTAAATTAGACTGAAATTTTGTCCAAAGTTTGATGTGACTATTGGCTGCATTTGCACTAATTTATATCAAATTACATGGAGTGGTTCAAATTCGACAAGTGTTTTATTAGGGGTGAGCAAAAACGGATATCTGATTAGGTTTGTCGAATCCGATACCGAATTTTCAGATTGCTAAAAATCTGAGCCGGTTCTGATTTTATCCGATATCCGATTTTCGGATATCGCTACATTCGGATTGGAAACCGGATTTATCCGAATCCGAATTGGATAGTCTTCTGCTTTGGCAAACATTTTGACTTTAATTTTCTTTTGTGCTTAATACAAGTAGATGTGAAAATAAAAGTAGTGGTGGGAATTTTATTCATATCTATAAAATGAGGAAGGAGGTGTGTTTTACCAAAAGGGTTGGTTGACATTTTTTCTTAAATTTAATTTCAATTTCTAGACTGACTTAAGCTTGAGATGGGAGGGAATTTTTCTGAAAATCAATAAACGTCCCCTACCGTTAATTAGGCACGCAGGAGTACACAGTTAGCAATTTAAGTCACAGAACTGCAACAATAACATTTAAGTATTTAACATCCTTAGTTTACAAAAAAATAACATTTGTTTAAGCGAGTTCATGAATGTCTTTTATATTTTCTACTAAAAAATTTACTTTTCTTGCACAAAAAAAAAAAAACAACAACAACACTTTATTAAAAATTGTTAAAACATCAATCTCAAAATATCATCAATTGTCTTATCAATAACTATGACTGGTTGTTCCAACGTCAAACTTTCTATACCTATAAATTATGAGTAAAAATAATTAGTTAGAGTTTGATAACTAGATAATTGTTTATTATTATTATTATTATAATTGTTGTTATTATTGTTAGTATTGTTATTATTATTATTATTATCAATATTATTATAACTATATGTTACTATGTTAAATTATGCAGTAGTGGTGTAGTGGTAGAGCGCTCGCTTTATAAACAAGTGGTTCCGAGTTCGATCCCCACCACGTCCCTGGTAGTACCGCGCTCAACTCGTTTCTTCGCGCAGCGGCCTTGTTCTTCAAGATTCGTGTTTCGGAGTTATAGAGTTGAGAGAGGGTTATAGCCACAAAATAAGTAGCCTCCTCGTCTGTAGTGGTCTTCTCGGCCTTGAGGAGGTGAAGTGAAACTAAAAAAAAAAAAAAAAATACTAAATGTGCAGCCGCGGCGCAGTAGTTAGAGCGCTTGCTTTAGAAGGAAGAGGTCTAGGTTCGAAACGAGCTCGGGACATATTTTCGCGTCACGGTATGGAAGAAGGCGTGAACTTCTAGTTAAAATGCACTTCCGCGGTGCTCTATGACAAGACCGCTAGGTCTTATTGGGGCACTTTAAAAAAAAATTAAAAAAATATAAAAAAAGAAATAGACACATAAACACCTTTTGACTTTTTACGCATAATGATGAAAATACTTTTCTTAAAAAGCAAGATTTATTTTGTTGCATCCATATTTTGTTGTGATATATCTAAAAGTTATATCACAACAAAATATGGACTTTTTTTTAGTTTTATTTTTAATACCATTTTGTTTTGTTTTAGCTTTATGCTTGGCTGCAGCATTAATTGAGCATAACAGATATTGTTCATTTTGTCGTCGGTTTTTTATAAATACTTCTTTTCAAGCTGAGCTCGGATGGATTTCTGTTGCAATGTCAACTGTATCTTCGATTTTGCAGTTCTATAAAACAAAATCAGAATATGAGTCTTTATAGTTTGTTTTACCGTAACATCAGCCCTTTACTTATTTGAAAAACTAAAAAATCTGCGATGGCAAGATGACTTTTTTCTTTATCGGCACAGTTACAAAGAGTTTCAAAATAAACATTCTGTCTATCACAAAACGTCGCTTTTGTATTTCATATAAGTTACTTTAGATTAACAACATTTTAATTTTGTTAAACGAAATTTAACCTTAGCCTGAGAAAAAATTATTTTGTTCATTGTTACAATATAATTCATGTTTTACCTCAAATTTAATTAAAGTATGGCTGAGAAAAACATATCTAAATTTATTAGTTTAAATACATGAAAAACCTGATTTTTAAAAAACTTGATAACTATACCACTAAACAAAATTGTGTGTAGCGTTTAATTTTTATCTTTTTTTTAAAACAATAAAGAGGTTTAAAATTGAAAATTCTTATTTTATATTTAAAATAAACCATTTTATTATTTTTTTTTATTTTTGAAATAATTAAAATTATTTAATATTGATATAATAAGGAAATTTAGAGTTTTACATCTATTTTACCATGCCTCTGTTAAACATTCTAAACCGATTGCTCAACAACGACAGAATTTAGATAACCATCAAAATAGTATACTCCATTATTTTTTTTCTTAGCTTTTAGATTTTTTAGGGGTTGTAAATAAATTATGCAACTCTAAATTTCACAAAAGTAACACAACAAAAAAGATCAGAATTTTCAATCGCAGAGTTATTAGTTAAATAAAAAATCAAAATAGCCTATTAAGTTTAATGAGTCGTTTTGATTTTTTAAACGAAAATTGCCACCTAAAGAACCTAAAATCTCCTTCTTTTTTTATAAAACTAAATTTAGCGTTGCGTTATTTATAAACGTTTCCTTTGCGTTTTATAGTCTATAAATTTTAATGGTCTAAGACCATCTTAGTTTTGCTATTTGTATAACGTTGCGCACAAGCGTCTGTAAGTGTAAACGTCTATAGCATATGTTGAGTTTGCCAGCAGTATATGAAACAATCGTGTTTAATAAGTTTATGAAAATGCGAAAACTTTTGAAATTTATTTTAGGATATAGAAAACTTTTTTGGTATAATACTTTATTTTATATAAATATTTCTATAATTATTATAGATATATAGTATTATAAATATTTTTGCGCTAAGTAATGTTATAAATACAGATAGATAAAAAAAAATTTTAAATTTTTTAGAAAAGGTCTTTAATTCCCCAAAACGACACTGATGACAATTCACTAAACCACTGAGCTATCAATGATTTGCGTATAGGAGAAAAACAAACTATATTATAAATTTCTTATAAGCTCGAGATATGCGGAAAATGTCCGGATGTTACTTTTTTTGCTGTTAAAGCAATTGTTTTAAATAAATTATTTTACTTAAAAATATTAAAGTAAGCAAATAATAGGTATAGAAATACTTGGCGTGGAATATATAACTATAAAAAAAGTAGATTTAGACCCGTATTTTATGGGTCCATAAAGTTAGGATATACATATGAAGAAAAATAGACTTCAAAAGACCCGTATATTTACGGGTCAGATAAGCAAGTACAATATAAAACATTAAGTGAAGATAATTATAACTAAATTCACCATATATTACAATAACGTATTCTAATTCAACAATTGCTTTTGGAAAAAGTAAAGATTTTTTAAATCTTTATCTTTTCCAAAAAATAAAAAATATATTTCCTAATTTGATAGCATAAAAATTGCAATGAGATTAAGAAAGAAAAATATAGACACAAATAGTTCTGCATTCTTTTGCAAATATGGTATTAGTAGTAAAAGGCGGTTTGAAACTTTTTTCCATTGAGCGAATTCAGGTTTCGCATTTTTTATAAAACTCTGACCTGAATGTAATAAGTGCTAGAACATCGTAATCATTTTTAATGGTGCAAATTATACTCTGTATAAATTATAAAAATTTAGGCAATAATATAAAAAAAATAATTATTTATTATAATAATCCTAATATATCGCAAATTATTATAAAATATTCAGTATAAATTGTTTTGATAAATTTTAATAATTCGGGTCGTAAATTTACAAAATAAGCGAAATATGCATTGCTAACTTGAAAAAAATTATGACCTAAAAAACGTTGACATAACAATTATGTTTTGTCGTAAATACTTTCAAAAAACTTAAATAGTATTTAGTCCATGATGCTGGGAGTCAAATGATTTATATATATATATATATATATATATATATATATATATATATATATATATATATATATATATATATATATATATATATATATATATATATATATATATATATATATATATATATATATATATTTATATATAACAATAATATTTTCTAATAACAGTATAAACATTTATAATCTAACCCTTTTGTATCTTTTTCTACACAACTCACTTGGGCCCAACACTGACAGCTTAAACACTGTATACACCCAGCACCTGGAAGGCTGTTTGAAAACGGTTTAAAATAACTAACACACAAGACATCTTCCTCGTTATCATCTTTGTTTTTCTTGTTGCGTTTTTCTTCAACAGTTTGACTAGCAAAAATCTTGTTTGTTTTGGAGTTACTTGGACAGGCTTCTTTGATTGAAAATTTTATTTTTATTATTGAACCCTTCTGTTTGTTTTTTTTGCTGCTTTCTGTTCCTGTTGCAAGACTTTTTTAACTGGTTTATCCGTTAATATAGCAGAAATTCGTTTCCAATTTCTTAGCCTCCTTACATTGTTTTTTATAGGCTGAGCTTTTCCAAAAGGCCTCTATTTTTCAGAAGATGGTATAAGCGAAGAGCTTGGAGTAGCACTTGATGTACTATATTAATCTGGAAAATTTCTTTTCTTAGATGTTGATTTATTTGAAATAAAGTTTAGAAATTTTTTTGCTAACAATTCACATAAGAAACTTTGTTGCTAGGTGTTTGTTTAGTGATGCTAAAATCCACAGATGATTTTAGTGCTAGGGATGGTCTATCTGTAAAATGTGATGGCAAAAAATCAGTTTCTGAAAAAATATCTCTCTTAAATTGATAAATACCTGTTGCTAAGAAACCACTAACTGTTTTCCTTGGGGTTATAGCATTAGGAAATGCTGTTTTTATTATACCAGATACGTCATAGATAGTCGCTTGTTTACAATAACCCATGCATCACATGCTGAGTTCACAAACTTTTTAAAAGGACCAAAAACACTTTTATCTAATGGTTGCAATTTATGACTACAGTGTACTGGAAAAGATAAAAGTGTGATTCCATTTTCTTTACAAAAATCAAGTACTGCTGCATCAAGATGAAAGCTGTGATTGTCAGTCAATACCAGACAAGGGCAATCATTGACAACGTGCATGGATAGAAAAATGTTTGATATATTTAAGAAAAGTTGTCTCTGTCACCTATCCTGAAGAATGTGCTGATCCATCACATTTTATTGGTTCATCACGAATAAAGTGAGATTTAAAATTATCTCTGGGAAATATAAAATATGGAGGTATGTTATTGCCGATTGCACTAACTGACAAAGCCATAGTCACTAATGATCCCCTTTCTGCTGATGTTAATCAACCTATCTGACAAAAGCCTTTACATGCAACAACACGACCAAGTCGTTGCACTGTTTCGATTCATATTTGTTAAAGAAAATAGAAATACCAGAAATCTTTTGGCATAGCCAAACTTGTGCCAGGGTTTTTCATCTAATTTAGGTGATAGTAAAACTCTTCCTATAGCTGTTATCAGGCGTATGTATTGTTTCAGTAACATCAAACTCAAGTGTCTTATCAGTGTTAGAATTTAAAACAACCACTTAGCAATCAAGTTCTTCTTCACTTTAAACCGAAGAAGCAGATGCAGATGGCAACCTTTTGGATATGCAATACCTTCCTAGAGTCTTTCGTGGTATATTAAATTCTCTACTAACTGCTCTAATTGATATTTTAAATTTTGTAACATGTATCACTGCCAATAACATTGTTTCTTCTGACACTTTTCCACGTTGTGATTTGCAAATATAATTTCATATCATTTTTAGGTAGGTTTAAAAAAAAAATTCAAAAACCAAAACTACATAACTTTTTTACTATGCTTTAAATTTAACTATATCTTTTTAATGTAATTATTTATATAGCTGCATACTTATATATTTAAACTTAAGTTACATTTGATAATTTTCTTATTTAATATGCTAAATAATAATATACTTTTAATTATCAACAATTTACTTAACTCATGTCATTTAAGTGTATATTTTCCTATATAAATTTAAGTGTTACGCATGAAAAATTAGGTGTATTATGTATAAAGTATTTAATTTATATATCTAAGTATAACTAATATGGAAAACTTTAAATACCAATTAAATTTAGATATATAAATTATATTTATAAGTTAAATAATATATATATATATATATATATATATATATATATATATATATATATATATATATATATATATATATATATATATATATATATATATATATATATATATATATATATATATATGTATATATATATATATATATATATATATATATATATATATATATATATATATATATATATATATATATATATATATATATATATATATATATATATATATATATATATATATATATATATATATATATATATATATATATATATATATATATATATATATATATATATATATATATATGTATATATATATATAATTATGTATATATATATATATATATATATATATATATATATATATATATGTATATATATATATATATATATATATATATATATATATATATATATATACATATATATATATAAATATACATATACGTATATACATAAATAATTATAATAATAAATATAATAATAATAATAATAATAATAATAATAATAATAATAATAATAATAATAATAATAGTAATATATAAAAAAGTACAATAACTAAGTTTAGACATATATGTAAAGTTAAATTCTAAGTTAAAATTACATTTTATAATAAGATATTTTAAATATTTATCCAAATTTAAATATTATGTATATACGAGTGATATTTTCTTACTATCGAGCTATAAATGATACCTATAAAACAAATGAATGTTTGTTTATGAGGCCGTTTTCTGAGCTGCTATGTTTTACACGCTTTATTTTTTTTTATAAAAAAAATAGTTTTTCCGTCAAAACTTTACCGGAATTATTTTAAAAATCTACGGGGCAAGTTGGACACATGTCCAACGTGCCTTGGTTGCATCAGGCCAATCTACCCTTTTGTCATGTTTAGAGTATGAATAAATTTATCTTTAAACCATCAATTTATTTTGTTGAACATTATAAAGTAACATTATAAAATAATCATTACGCTTATGCTT